TTAAGGCATGTGTGTGTAAGAAAGAGAGAGAGAGAGAGAGAGAGAGAGAGAGAGAGAAGCAATTGTGCATAAAATTCTAATGGTAGTAATCCAGTAAGTAAGATAAATTTTTCATCTTTTCTCAGCTACAAAGACCTCAATTTATTTATTCTTTTTAAGAGATTATTAATCTTCTTTGTTCACTCTTTCACTGTTGAATTCCAAATGTGAAAAGAAAAACATTTCGAATGTTTAAAAATTAATATAAAATACACTGAAAAATGACAACACAACTGGTAAAAAAGATTCAAAGGAACAAAAGAAAAAATCTTTACTGTTCATAATGATTGAGAAGTCAAAAAAACTAAATAAATAATGAAATGTAACAAACAAATAGGACAGATTATCAAATGATCGGAGTAACAGTTATAGTGGCAAGCCGATCAGCTGATCGAACTACTTCCTTAATGTCTCCTGAAGGTCACCTTGCATTCCACAAATACCCACCACTGTCACTGCTTACTCAAAGTCTGTAATTATTTCTTTTCTGTTACATAATGGACAAATCTATCAGATGATACAAATGAAAAAGCTCTCATATATAATTTAATTATCATTATCATTTACAATATTTACAAGTGTGGAGTGTTTAACATTATATTAAGGATTTTAAGAAATAAGCATGCATTCATGTTTAAATATATTTTTATTTGACAAATTTTTGCTTAGGAATTAACTTCTGTTTAAATAAATATTTGATATTTCTTCTTATATGATTAATACTAATGCTTTTTAATGACCAGATTTTGTTGTACATTTTAACCTCTCGTCACTGAACTAGATAACCACCTGTAGAAGCCCTCCCTACATATCACAAATAAGAACATCCAAGGAATAATTGTCCTGGCAAGAGTTACATTAAACGGTCACTTAATGTAAAAATCCTGGTTGAGCAAATAAAAAAACAGACATTTTTGTCCTTGAGGGGTATTAAACATCTATCACTGTCCTTGTAGAGATAACCAACAATTCATCACTGCTTTGGGACAATCATATACAGGAATATCGTTAGGACAAAACATAAAGACTGGCTATTGTTAGGATGACATTAAAAAGGTCAGTCAATAAGCCCTAGCTTGGACGACATTGACTTGTCAGTTGGTCCTAGCTAGGACGAAATTAACTGGTCAGTTAGCCTTAGCTAGAACCATTGACTGGTCAGTTGGCCCTAACTAGTAGGACGTTGAATGGTCAGTTACCCCAAGCTAGTACGCTATTAACTGGTCATTTGGCCCTGGTCGGAACGACATTGGTCAAATGGCCATAGCCAGGACGACATTAACTGGCTAGTTACCCCTAGCTTGGACGACATTGACTGGTCAGTTGGCCCTAGTTGGGACGACATTATCTGTCAGTTGGCCCTACCCTACCCTAACAAAACAAAATACCATAGAAAACTATAGTTAACTATAGTTTACTATAGTAAATCAAAGTTCCTAAATCTTCAGCATAGTAAATCAAAGTTCTATAGTTTTCACCATAGTAAATCAAAGTTCCAACGTTTTCACCATAGGTAATCAAAGTTTCAAATTTTTACTACAATAGTAAATCAAAGAACTAAAGTTTTCGACATAGTAAAGCAAAGTTTCAAAGTTTTTGGCATAATTGATCAAAGTTCCAAAGTTTTTGGCAGAGTAAATCAATGTTTCAGGGTTTTTGGCATAGTAAATCAAATTTCCAAAGTTTTTTTTGTAATTACTTTTCAACCTATATAGCTTATTTTCCTTTTTTTAACTCTATAATTTTTTAAAGGGGGATAATATTGGATTTGTTAGGGCTGGTTATTTTTATCCTAAATCAAATATTCAACGTACATGTAATTAACTTGAATGCAATTTTTACTTAACAGTGGAAAAAAAACATATTGACTGAAGTTAATGTTAATGAAGCAACAATATTTTAATTCTAATTGACGCAAGTTTTATCTTATAGTAATTTTTTCTTCAAATATATAAGATTTACATTTTATTTCCACAACAGTAAAATTAAATAAATATTGCTTATTTGTTGATGCAAGAGACAATTTTTACATTAAAATGCATTTCTTGTACATTATTCATTTAGGAGATGGTTCGGGGTATTAAAAATTTCTTTAAAACTTTAATGAATTTTTATCTTGAAACGTCATGAAATGTAGAGAATGGGAAGCAAAAAAGATAATTCTACGGGTTTCATAGTACTTAATCTAAGTTCCAAAGTTTTCATAATAGTTTATCAAAGTTCCAAAATTTTCACTATAGTAAAACAAAGTTCCAAAATTTTCACCATAGTTAATCAAAGTTCCAAAGTTTTTACTGTAGCAAATCAAAGTTCCAAAGTTTTCACTATAGTAAATCAAGTTCCAAAGTTTAAACTTTGGTACTATAATTAACATTAGTTTGCTATAGTATTTTTTGTAAGGATAGCTAGGACGACATCAACTGGTCAGTTGGCCCTAACTAGGACGACATTGATTTGTCAGTTGGTCCTAGATAGGTGGATTAACTATTCAGTTGACCCTAGCTAGGACGACATTGACTGGTAAGTTGACCTAGCTAGTACGACATTAACTGGTCGAATGACCCTAGCTAAGACGACATTAACTGGTCGGTTGGCACTAGCTAGGACGACATTAACTGGTCAATTGACCCTAGCTAGGACAACATCAACTGGTCAATTGACCCTAGCTAGGACGACATTGACTGCTTAGTTGACGCTAGTTAGGACGACTTTGACTGGTCAGTTGGCCCAAGCTAGGACGATATTAACTGGTCAGTTTGCCCTATCTAGAACGAAATTGTTTTGTCAGTTGGCCCTAGATATGATGACATTAACTAGTCAGTTGACCCTAGCTAGGACGACATTGATTGGTTAGTTGGCCCTAACTAGGACGACATTAACTGGTGAATTGACCCTAGCAAGGACGACATTAACTGGTAAATTGACCCTAGTTAGGACGATATTGACTGGTCAGTTGACCCTAGCTAGGACGACATTGACTGGTCAGTTAGCCTTAGCTAGGACAACATTAACTGGTCAGTTGGCCCTAGCTAGGATGGCATCGACTGGTCAGTTGGCCCTAGATAGGACGACATTGACTGGTCAGTAAGTTCTAGCCAGGACGTCAGAAACTGCTCAGATGGCCCTAGTTAGGACGACATTGACTGGTCAGTTGGTCCTAGCTAGAACGACATTAACTGGTCAGTTGGCCCTAGTTAGAACGACATTGTTTTGTCAGTAAGTTCTAGCTAGGACGACAGAAACTGGTCGAATGACCCTAGTTAGGACGACATTGACTGGTCAGTTGGTCATAGCTAGATCGACATTAACTGGTCAGTTGGCCCTAGCTGGGACGACATTGATTTGTCAGTTGGCCCTGGATAGGACGACATTAACTGGTCAGTTGACCCTAGCTAGGACGACATTGATTTGTCAGTTAGCCCCAGCTAAGACGACGACTATATATGCTTGACCTCAAACAGATTCTCGAGAAAACTCCTGAATGAATTAAAGAGTTCTCACTAAGAAAAAAAACTCTAAATATAAAATAAATACTACCATACCGTGTTTAATGTAAGTTTAGTAAATTTAATTTTCAAATGGAGTTTAATTTTAAATCAATATCTATTTATTTATTGATGTCAATTAGATTGTTAATTAAATTATTTTATATTCAATTTATTTACAATTTAAAATATATCAAATAACCCATGATTACATAACTATTTCATAAGTTCTTGATTTATTTGAAATCAAAACCTTTGGTATCGCCTGTTTTAGTTTACATAACTCCAAAGGCTTCTCGGGTTAAATAGGTAAGTGGGGTTCTAAGCTTATTGTAATACTCAACACTTTATTCACATCGAAAGAAATTTATTGTTCATCTCGTGATTGAAAAATATCCATGTTGTTTATCATTTTATCTTTTTCATCATTATCAACTTAAAATTATTCCAAAACAAGTTTCACTGTGACAAAACAACATATAACCTCGCTTTTTGATTTTGAGTATTGACCACTGACTTCCAAATAAAGTTCACACAGAATTGAACATATGGTTCAACTCAGAAAGATATTTGCAAATGTAAATATTCATACATTAATACTGAAATAAATCCTAGGAATATCAATAAATGCTGTAATGGAAAGATGTTAGAATATAAAAATGATTGAAAACTGTTGTATTACCACAGACAAAACGGTATGTTAAGAGGACGATTACATAAATCTTGAGAAATACCAGATTTTATCTGTTAATGCCCTAGAAAAGTGTTACAACAAATATGTAACTGTCGTAGGTAAAGATACAGCCCAGAATAAATACAAGTAGAAGAAATACTCCATTTCTTGTGTTTTTAATCAGAATATAGGTTAATGACTCCTTGGCTACAGTGAATCGTTAATAAGCCTTGAAATGAAGACATTACGTAAATATCGTATCAAATTTCTGATTACGTCAATGTCTTGGCATAAGAAGTAAAATAAATTGACCGATATTTTCTGTAGTTTAATATGAACCCCAATTCCTTGCAGGAATAATTTAGTTTTGATTTGAAATCGAATGTAAACCATATTACAAAATGAAAAGTTTACAGAATTTAGTGTATCTTATACTTTTGCTGAATGTCGGACAAGTCTTAGCTGACAGTTACAATCTTGAAAAATCTATTATGGACGGAAGTACGACGTCGGGAGGAAAAGTGTCCAATGTTTTACTAGACATCCTGAACCAAGAGAGTCTAGTGAGGTTTTCTATGGTTCAGAGAATCCAGAACTTAGTAATGGACGTCATAGACAGCAAAAATAATTCTCAGATGGTGGTGCAGAATATAAAAATTTTGACCAAGGAGTTAAAAGATTTGGAGACAAGAAACAAAGGAATGGAAACCGAGGTTACAAAACTAAAACAGATGTTTAACGCATTGAATGAGACGGTAAGAAGTAATCAAGATCGGACCATTGGCAAAATTCAAGAGTTAAAAGATTGGGAACTAATTTCAATAACAAATAAAACTTCAGTTCTCCAGAAAGAGAGTCAAGAATTACTCTTGGAAAACAGAAAAATGAAACAGCAGTTGGAAATGCAAGACAAGACCATTTCATGGTTAAACGTTTCTTACAATGTTCTACAGGAAGAAATTCAGCAAATTAAAAATAGAGAACAGGATGTCAGAAATAAAACCAAAGAATTGTCCACACATAATGAATTGGTTAGAGAACAACGAAATGACGTAAGAAATACTCTAAGAGAACTCAAAGGTTCCTTATATAAGGGACGGTTTCAGAAGATGGAAAATACTTTTAGTGACTACTCAATATCAATCAATAAGACCCTGGATGGTTTACTTGAGGATCATAGAGTTCTTAATCAGCAGGTTTTGAACGTTTCCTCTTCTCTATCCAATGGTAAGTTGTATGTTGAGTAGATATTCCTCTTAATAGTGTAATGTTCTGATTCATTCGTTTCCTTAGGCTCTTAACAGAATAACTTCAATCATCATAGCACAGAAAAATGAAAACTTGAATGAATTTTGCATAATTTGGTATTTGATAGCTAATATCTTTAAACCCATGTTTTACAGAGGATTAACTAAAGTTAATTATTTGATATAAAATTGTCTTAAAATATATCCAATATTTTTGGATCATTTATCTTTCCAACCCAAGTGTCTAGTCTGTAAGTTTCAAAACTTAATTACGATGTGATATACTGTCTTTGAGTTCACATTGACAAATTTCTTTTGTTGAAAGTTTTTTTTACCAATAACTTATTTTTGTTAAGTGTCTTGTTTTGTTCGTTCTCAGCCAAACACAAAGTTGTTCTTATTTTAATCCGCAGATCTGAGAGTGATGGGGAAAGATTTTTGTTAGCAACCATGTCTCATGAAATCTAAGAATCAATACGGCAGCTTGAGTAGAGAAATTTTCTGCAAAGCAAATCTAAGTGTTGAATAGAACCTACAAATATGTATTATGTGATATGCACAAAATGATCTTGTGTTTTCAGATACCATATTGTCAAAAGGCATAAATTTTGAAGAAAATTTGATGACTTTTTTTATATATATACAAAAAGCTTATTTGATACATAATATTTAATCATATGTATTTAAGTTAAAAAGAACAACCTTGTTAAAGTTATAATTCATTATATCATACAGCAATTTATTCAGAAAACCAAGGTAAAATCAATGCAATATAAAGTACAATATCACTTTTTAAGGAAACATACCATAAAAAGTATTGAAAAATGAAAATTAGAATATTTATGGACTACTCAAAATCCTGAGGTCGGGATGTTAGGGTTTAATTTTCATTGGTATCGCCACCAGCGTCAAACTTTACGAGGGCTGTTCAATAAATAGTATCCTGAACTCTATGAAATACAATACAGATACCATATGACAAACAAACTTGACTTCCTCTCATAATTGAATCTTTGATGAATTTATAACAGTTTATGTGACCACTTTTCATCACATTATTTCATCGTGATAAGCTGAGTAACAAGGGTTATTCGAAACACTGCATTATAAACGAATGGTAAAGAATCAGTAAACTAGAGTGAAAATAAAACCTTCAGTAAAGTAAAGCTGCTGTAAAACTTGTTAAAAATCCGAAAGAAATATTCACTGAAATATGTGACATTAACAGAACCAATGCCTGTTTTATAGACAAATTAGCAGGTGGATTTCAATGATAAAAATTTTTTATTGGGCATTAAAAATGGGTACCGTCCTTGCCAAAAAAAAATTAAAACAACTTATGTACTGTTCGCCAAATTTCAACAAATAATATTTGATGATGTATGATTGACTTTAAGACACATAGCAAATTTGATAGACATCATATCGGGAGTTTTTTACACTGTTTTTAAGAAACGGTTGACGATAAAAAAGCTTTGTACGCAAAGGTCACCATACATTTTGAAAAATAAGTTGGAACTACAGCGTGTACGAAAGTCTTAACAAATATCTTCAGATATCAGTAATTGTAGTTTTCCACGTTTGTTTTATATTCAAACAGATAGTGGAACATGAAACTATTGCTTTTAACCCTCAAAACAATTACCATCAGATGTACTTGATAAAAATGGCGACCGTCTGACAAGAGCAAAGAATTGCAAGAGCACAAAGACAGATGTATTTTCGTAAATATTAGTGGTATTGTTGTTCAAATTCGTATTCGGGGAGACAGTTTAATTTCTGGAGGAGTTAAGAAAGTAATTTCTTTTGCAAAGAAATCTAAAGGTTTATTAGAGGAAGGATCCAGAATGAAGAATCCACTACATTGAATTTCTTCATGACAGCGTCCAAACCCGCATGCCCTGAAGAGTAAAGGGGTTTTCGGGATTTTACATTAACAATATTCGCCAGATCTTTGACCTTCTGACTTGTTTCTGTTTCCAAACTTGAAAAAAAAAACCTTTCAGAAGGAAGAAACAAGTCCAGGAAATCATTGGATCTGCAATTTTCCAGTATATTAAGGGTCATACCCAAAAATGAGTTCTAAAAACAATCAGAAACTGGATAAAAAATGTTACAGACGTGTGTTTTAATTTAAAAAGATTGATAAGTAAAACCATCAAGACTAAATCATTTAAATGCATCTTTCGCTTCTTTCTTAGCACCGTGGACATTATTTATTGAACAGCCCTCGTATATGTAAATTTAAGTGGCGACTCTTCTTTGCGTGCCAAACGATCGGCATTGAAGTGATATCTCTGTTCTTTAGATTAGACCTAAAGAAGCAAAGCTCTGTTCCTCGACAGAAATTAAGACAATGAAAAAAAACCTTCACTGCTCAAAAGCCAAAGTCTCGTGTCTAGACCGGATTTAGGAAAATAAATTTAAGAACCCTCACTGCACAAAGGAGTGCCGAGTATATGTCTAAATTTGAAGGTCTTCGCGGTGTATTGTGATGTCTATATCAGTTAAAAGTTTTACATAGGAGGTTATATACAACGTACAATCAATCAATTAAAATCCTGAAATATTTAAAAATTGTAGATTTTCTACCAAGATCAAAATCAGTTTTTCGTCCGTCTTATAACCTATCCTGATTGCGAAACCATTTATATGATATGCTAGTATCTGGGAGATGTTTTTTAATCAAAAATGAAACAACCGCTTTTGATATTTTTTTACAGTTGAATTAATATTGCACTCGAAATCATGCTACGATGTCCTTGAACAAAACCAATCATTGAAAGGAAAAGATGGCGTTTATGAGATTTTTATTAATGCTGACATCACTTCCGTCTTTTGTGACATGACTACAGATGGAGGAGGATGGTCGGTAGGTACAAATAGGTCACGTAACAAAGATTACTGTGTGTGTGTGTGTGAGAGGGCGTATGTGGGTATGTTAATATGAAAGAATGTGTATATGTGTGAATTTTTCACGTAGGTTTGTATTAATACATGTATATTTATATGTACGTTTGTAGGTATACATGTGTGTTTATATGTAAGTTTTGTTGAATACGTGTATGTTTATTTCTAAATATAAATGCATTTATTATGTGAAGTTTGTTTATATACTTTAATACTTATTTGTAAAGTTTCTTTTCTACATGGATGTAAAATTATGTAAGTTCATAGCATTATAGATTTATCTGTTCATGTACGAATAGATAGTAAATATGATTAGAAATAAATTATCAACTTTTTCAAATTAATTGAAAGGCCAGTATCTGCAAGTTATTAGCCAAAGATAAAAAAAATTCTACTATATTTATAGGTTATACAGAAAAGAATAGATGGATCTACTGATTTCTATCGAACTTGGCAAGAGTATAGAAAAGGCTTTGGGGATCCAAAGAACAATTACTGGATTGGTAAGCATACACACTTTGAAATAAGAATTTTTCTTTATATAAATAATGCATGCTAATAGTTGAGGGTAACATTGAAAAGTTTAACCCTAATAAACCCATTGTCAACCGAAAATGACCCGAGGTTCATACAAATAAAAAGATTAATCAGGCGAGTTTACATGTATTTCTTTTTTTCCAATTATACGGAGCATGATATGAGAAAAATAAACAGAATTAATTTACGTTGCATGCAAGTTTTTGGGGTTGTTTTCTTTGATTTATTTTTTCATGAGAATCAGTTGTATTTTTTAAGCTTTCTCCTTGTATCTTTCGGTTGTAACTAGTTTTTGACTATACGTAGTACTGAGATCAAAATATCACATATATATTTACTGTCAAATTGTCTGATACCATGTGTTATTATGCCTTTACGTCTTAATTTACTAACAATTATAGGTTGCAATCTCCAATTAAAATTATAATAACAAAAAACAAAAAACCAAAACAACTAAACGAAGAAATAATTGCCATTAAAAAGTAAATCAATGATGACAAAACGCAACTTATATAATTTTATCTCTAATAGATAAGCTGCATGGGCATTTCTTATGTTATTTATTACATTAATACGAGTTTAAAGAAATCAAGAAGTACCGTTAATACACACAAAATTTCCCAGTGAGAGTTTCCTATCCCAGTGTCTATGTACTCCAGCTATTTGTTTCAGGTACTTTACTGTGTCAGGTACTCTATTGTGTTAGGTGCTCTACTGTGTTAGGTTCTCTACCGTGTTAGGTTCTCTATTGTGTTATGTTCTCTACTGTTTCAGGTACTCTACTGTGTTAGGTTCTCTATTGTGTTAGGTTCTCTAATGTGTTAGGTACTCTAATGTGTTAGGTTCTCTAATGTGTTATGTTCTCTATTGTGTTAGGTACTCTAATGTGTTAGGTTCTCTATTGTGTTATGTTCTCTACTGTTTCAGGTACTCTACTGTGTTAGGTTCTCTATTGTGTTAGGTGCTCTAATGTGTTAGGTTCTCTATTGTGTTAGGTTCTCTACTGTGTTAGGTACTTTACTGTGTTAGGTTCTCTACTGTGTTAGGTTCTCTATTGTGTTAGGTACTCTAATGTGTTAGGTTCTCTAATGTGTTAGGTACTCTAATGTGTTAGGTTCTCTAATGTGTTAGGTACTCTAATGTGTTAGGTTCTCTATTGTGTTAGGTACTCTAATGTGTTAGGTACTCTAATGTGTTAGGTACTCTAATGTGTTAGGTTCTCTAATGTGTTAGGTACTCTAATGTGTTAGGTTCTCTATTGTGTTATGTTCTCTATTGTGTTAGGTACTCTAATGTGTTAGGTTCTCTACTGTGTTAGGTACTCTAATGTGTTAGGTTCTCTACTGTGTTAGGTTCTCTATTGTGTTAGGTACTCTAATGTGTTAGGTTCTCTAATGTGTTAGGTTCTCTACTGTGTTAGGTACTCTACTCTCTTAAGTACTCTACTGTCTTTGTTACTGTACTCTCTTTGGTACTCTTCTTTCCTTGGTGTTCTACTCTATTTGGTACTCTACTCTCTTTGGTACTCTACTCTATTTGGTACTCTACACTTTTAGGAACACTCTATTCTCTGAAGTACTCTTCTCTCTTATGTTCGCTATTCTCTTATGTACTCTCTTTGATACTCTTATATCTTTTTTGCTATACTCTGTTATGTACTCTACTCTACCTTCTTGGTTTCTTTTTCTGTTAGTTACTCCACTCTCTTTGGTACACTACTCTATTAGGTACTATACTTTTTGTGTTTACCTGTCTTTTTGTCTTAACCATGCACATATAGTGATAGTGAGTTTAATTTATACATAAACAAAAATTTAGAAAACTAAAAAAAAAACAATGTAAATACAAAATGTGGACATACGCAAAATTCAAGATTAAAAAACTTTTTCAACTAAAATGAAACATGAAGATAACGAACAGTATTCAAGATAAATGTCAATTAAACAATACAAAATACGATCAGAACAAACACGGACCTGCAAAACATCGGAGGTGGGTTCAGTTGAAATGGAAAAATGAGTATCCCCTGCCGACAGGTCAGACCTGCACTGTGCTCCTTGTCATGCTTGAGAAATACAAAAAAAATCCGTCATAAAATCAAGTTGTAAATAATGGACTTACAATTGGTATGAGAAATGTCAGTCAGCATTTGACTAAATGATAAATTGTATTTGCTGACAAGGTTATTGTATCAACCATAGAACTTAAGAAATGATGACTTTAATCGAGGCTGCTGATATTCTTGTTTTATCAACTTGTTTGTCAATAATTTACCTCGATTTAAAAATTGTTTATACGTAGAGCATGCTTTTGCGTATCGAATCAACTGAGATTAAAAGAAGCTTTGACGTTTTATACGTAAATAAACCATAAAATCAATTTCCGTTTATAATATATAATCTCCGTATGCAGGTGATGAAGTACATTGCAGCATATGCAAGGGAAATTAACGATAAAAAAAGTTTTAGTCATCACGTTTATCATATAGTTTGTCTGTTAGATTACCATTAAAGTCTTTTTCAAGTAAAATATCCAAAGAAAAAAAATGACCATACACTCTTACGACTCTTGAGTGTTCCATAAGTTTGTTTATGTTACTAAATATTTACATGATGAAACAACCATAATTAATCATTATTGATTTTACTTTGTTTTGATTTACAAAACAAGTTAGAGTAAAATGGTATGTTACAACGCACTTTGAAAAATTACGCACTTTGAAAAAAATTTTCAAAGTGCGTTAAATGCCTCCATGGTAAAAATGTTTATGTGCATTCTTAACGCACTTTGAAAAAATTTTTCAAAGTGCGTTGAGTGTGTCCAAAATTTAACGCACTTTGAAAATTTTTTTCAAAGTGCGTAATTTTTTCAAAGTGCGTTGCCACAGTGGTACCACTACTTCAAGCTGTTATTTCGCTTTTAGCTTTTAGCACCATCCGACATCTCTCTGAAAATAGGAACCTCCCACTCTAACTGTTTTGTATAACTTGTTCTGTGGATATCAATATGTGTAATTTCTTTATAAATTAAAAAAAAATAAGATGAAAGCTTATTCTAATCAATAGTAAAAAAAACATCAATTTCAATGATTTTTTTTTCTAATTTTTATAAGGGAATGATGTAATCCATGCTTTAACGAAAGATCAGGACCAGGAACTGCGAGTAGATCTCCAGAGATTTAATGGAGACACAGCATATGCTAAATTTTCCACGTTTTATATCGGAAACGAGGCTGATAAATACCGACTCACAGTATCCGGGTATACAGGAACTGCAGGTAACAGCATTCATTGTTATAACATTGATATAAATACCGATTAACACAGGGTCTGACATTAACCTGTTGCAGTGCGGTGTCAAAGAGGAAAGACATTGGATAAATATAATTCAGAACCATATTGAAACGCATTCCCCTTTTCGAAAAGCATTTTTCGCCAAGTTTTAAGCCTTTTCGGTCATTTATAATATATAAGACTGCTGGTTTCTATCAAATTTCACATTTTACAACAAATGAACAGTTGCCCACTTGACCCAGTGGTTAGTTTCTTTAGAGCAAGTAATTATTAGAAGTTGATCTCACGGGATGGAATCTCGATAAATGTCATTTATGTTAAACTTGGACGATTTTCCGGAACGTATTAAATCGCAATATTCCTGTTTATTGCGAACAGCAAGCGAAGTAATATTTACGATTAGATAAATACACATTTAATCAATTACTTGCGAAAAGAAACAAAAAAGCAAAAATATACCGAAGACGTAATAATTTCTTCACATTTAATCAGTCTAAAAATGCACTTGTATACTGATCAATATTCAAAGCAACTTTACACTCTAGTCACGTTTTTGGATGTGTAACAGTGGTCTGTAATATAGTCCACTTAAAATTATCCCGGATTATCACGAGATACTAGATCTAGGTCGTAAACAATAAAGAACAGCAACAATTATTCAGACTCCTAAAACATCTAAGTCTAGTAGTTAAAAAGAACTAACTGATCAGGGACGCGGAACGGAAACGCCCGGATCCCAGACGGTGGCACCGGTTGTCAATGACAACCGCGCACCCCATCCAAGATCAAAGAGAGATAACTCTAATTAAAATATACGACTCCACTACAGATGCATGCATATACGAGGGTAATGTCACTGTGTCAATATCTTTAATATTTGGCGTCATATTATCAAATATAGTATTCCAAAAGATTCATGAAAATAAATCTAATCCAACTGAATATTTTCATTTAATAATATTAAGTTAAATTAATTTTATAGATGTTTAAAATATTAAAAATAAGGGGTGTCGCCACGTCCCAACTAAACGTCACGTTTAAAAGTGTAAATTGTTATAATGAAAAAGAGACAAACACATTAAGAATCATCTAAAAAAGAGTCTAATCGCCTAATATTTCAAGAGGCAAAATTTTACAACATTTCTTAGTGATAAGTTGACAATAAAATGAGGTCATTTCTTTTTGATCATAAACATTGTTGTTTTTGCTGTATCGAACAAAGGAAATGTCGAAAGACCGCTGGATCGAGCTGTATTGCGTTTTTGCTTCAAAATAGGGATATTGCCCGTAGGAACAGTTACGATGATTAAACAGACACACTGAGGAGAGAATGTGAATGGGTGCCAATAATTCTTTTAAAAAGACAAATATAATTATGTGCTTGTGAATCTCAAATATGTTTAATGAAACGAAAGGGAAGCTTTCAAGTGTATGACGGTGCATATCCGTCATATGACGTTATTTAGGTGCGGCGACTACCATTTTTGCATTTCGTATATAATTCGATGTTTTGAAAAGTATAAATAATTTTAATTTGAATTTTTGCAGGACTGATTTGAAATAAATACAGCTTTTATCATGTTTAATTTCGTTGATTTATGTAAACAAGTAGCAAAATTATCGAAGGTGTGACATTACTTTTGGAACAACCCCCGTAATTATAGAAACTAGGGAAAACTTCGAATGTATTAATGCAACGAAGAAGATGATTATTGAGTTTGAATTTCATTTACCAGTCGTGTGATATTTATGATAAGAAAGAATTCTTGTGAAGTAAAATAATTGTTTCTATTATTCAAGAACATTTACACATTTACAATATATATAATATGTATTTGTACATTGCAGAATTTAGAGCGAAATTAAGAAATAGATGTATATGTCAGGCAGGTAGTATCAGGGGAAGGATGATCCATTCTTTCCAGGGAAATCTCTTGAGCCCCCCCCCCCCCAAAAAAAAAAAAGAACGTTTCTTCGCCTGTTGCAATATGAATAAACACACATTGATGTTACTGTTTTAATTTTTAAAATAAAAAATGAGTATTTTTTTAACTCCAAAGTCTACAAAATCGTTATCAAGTTTGGTGAGGTATTTCCACTTTTTCTTTTGTTTTATCAAATTCATGTTTGTTGTTTTACTTTCTCAGCCCCTCCTCCACCCCCTTTTCAAACGAATAGAAGTGTATATCTGTGTGTATTTGTCGTTAATTATTATGCGATCGCTTGTGCGGTTTAAACTTTAAACTATAAAAGAAAATTAATATATATATAAAAATATTGTGATTAGGGGGATTTTCAAAAACTCCGACAAAAATCACGAACTAAAAAAAAAGACTCTCACCCACCCTAAATTAAGAAGAATATGAATGATGCAAAATAAAATTCAAGTGTATTGAAGATATTTATTAACCATTGTTTATTATTTCTTATCTCACGCTACAACTTATCGTGTCTTCCTTTATATATGATACCTAATTTAAATGTCTCCACCCATTTGCATAAAGGAACCGTACTCTGTTCGAAAGAAAATGTTCTGGACTTTGTGTGTTCAGTAGGTGTTGGAAATTGGCTAGACGTTGCGCACGGTGTTGGTGTCATTTTTGGTAACGACAAAATGACGTTATTTAACGTGAAGTTCTAGAAAATTAAGTTGACGTTACTTTTTTGCTTACATTTTTTATGAAGGAAAAAAAAACCAGTAATGCCGCCAATTATTTGATGCAGTTCATTAAAAATACATGCATGTAATTAAATTATCTGCCCTTTTGTAAGCATATTGCGGAATCTATACAGGAAATATAGGCATAATTTGCTTCATTTAATAAAAAGCTTGGTAGGAATAATAAAACTTGTTCGACATCGCATTTTAAATTTACATTCTTTTTGTTTTATTGCTATAAATTCAAAACAATTCCGTATCATATATCAGTAGGCGCTAGAACCTGTCCTTTGTTTTCAGTAAATTGTGTGATTGTAGATATGATGCTGATTTAACATTGAACATTTTTTTTCGTTTAAAGTCCCTATTCCCATCCCATCTTTAACTTCCACCATCAATCATACCCTTACATACTGAGTACCTGTATTAGTCCATGAGCCACTGGGGGTGGTCGGTACCATTTTGGGTGAATAAACTTATAGTGATATTTGATAAGGCATACCCCTAACTAGTGAGAAAATTAATGATAGCATCAAATCTGTTGTGGCTTCAATGCTGGAGACACAGTTATTGCCCTTTATTTGCTCAAATAAGTGTATTTTGAGCTAAATAAATTTACAACCTGCAAAGTTTTTGTCACAAGGTTGCCAACCGTGATAGAAAGTTCTACCAGAATTACTCCGAGCTATGATGAACATATTAAAAGAGCATAAACTGAGTTACTTGTCGTGATTCTTAAAAAATGCATATTTTTACCACTTTTATTCAACAATTACATGTACCACAAAAATTTGTATAGAGAAAAAGATAAGTGTCAACGCACATATACTAGTTTAGTACGTTATTCGTCCGTCGGTGATGACGATTACCACTGTCTCATCGTCATGGGGGAGGGGGATGATCTGGACGTTGGCTGCAGAGGTAACTGGTCAGGCCGATCTTCGCACAAGGAGATGATGGAGTCTTTCGACTAGAGCCATGCCTCCTTCTTTGTGAATCTAAGCTAGCCAGGTGCTTTGCCAGTTGACAACAGACTAATTGCTTTCTGGATCCCATCGAAAGTTGGAACGGCATCCAGTGACAAGTTGATGGGAACCTGGGAAGTCTGTTGATGGCTTCGTTGTTGATGGTAGAAGGGCGGTTCAGAACGCCATTGAAATGTTCCGCCCACCTGTCGAGTATATTTCGCTTCTCTGTGATGAGTGTTAACCCGTCATTACTGAGGAGAGGGGATGAACCTGATGGATTTGGCCCATAGACTTCCCCAAGTCCACAGTAAAAGTTCTTCCTAGGCCTGTTATGAGATTCGGTGTAGCGTTGGATCTCGTCAGCTTAAGCATTCAGCCTCCTGTCCTGCATACCCCGAAGCTTTTGCTGTACTATGCTGCGAGCGTTCCTCAGACCGTCGTTTTGGCTGTGGTGGTGGGATCATCTATATGAGCCTTGTAAGCGCGATGTTTGTCCTCTAGAAGCTTCGAGATCTCGGCGCGATTCTCATCAAACCAGTCTTTGTGTGTTTTTTTGGTCAAGGACAAAAGACACTCGAAGGCTGTATTGTACACTGTATTACGAAGTGTGTTCCATGCTGCTTCCACGTCGTGGTCATCCAGCACGGTGGAATTCAAGCGTTCTTCCAGGGTGTCAGCAAAGTACTGAGAGGTGGAAGGCAACTTGAGCTTACATGTACCAACGTTGAGACGTTTTGAAGCCTCAGTCTCCTGAGGACGTATCCTGAGTTTGATTCGGAAGATAAGTAAAAGTTGAGAGGCTATGAGACGGTGATCTGCTTTCCGTGCTGCACTTAGCTTTGGTGAACAAACTGTATGTCTGTCTCTCTTCCTGACAATGACGTAGTCCTGATTCTTGTTTCTTCTTGTTCTCTTTGTTATTTAGACCGCATGTGAAGGGTCCCCATCAGCCGCGGTAAACTGGCTAGGAAAGGGTAGAGCAGGCAACGTTTGGGTACCTTTTATAATCCGCTCCCCTTGCCATGGAGGTGAGCAATGCGTTCCTCAAGAAGGCTGCTCAGTAGCACAGGTGGCTGCCAAACTCAAACGCTGCACTTGTCGGTGAAGAGCGACCATATGGCCTGTGCCGCCTGTATGCAGGTCCGCGACTACCGACTTCCAGTGAACTTGCACCTCTCACATTCGTCGCTCTCCTGTCGCCACAGGGCTTTGGGGTGGATGATAGAAGGGATAGAAGATGATCATTGATTTGCGCGATGAGTTTGATTGAAATGAAGAAGGGTTACGCGTCGCTGACCTCACTCTCTCGCCCGCATCCATCTAGATCCAGTGGCAAAACAGATGTCAGGACGTCTGG